GAATTTTCACACTCATACATACCCAACATGAATATAATCCTATAAACTATTCAATAGTTATTCAAAATACACACACAATAAGTGATTAGAACCTGATAGTCACACATGTGGGTTACATACATAATATGGAGTTATGCATAGAAATGATTAGTTGCTCACAAGTCCTTTTAGTGTCATTTAGTTGCATGGAAAGGCAGTTTCTGTACCATTCTGTGGATGTATGTGGACATGCTCTGTGAAGACCATAGAGGTTAAAAAGGGTCTCCTAAGGAATCTCAGTCGGTTCTTTGTCTTCTAGGTGGTGAGGGGGGGGGTTTACATGTGATGATCATGCTGTGGCCTCTCTTTGACCTTTAATCTTGATTACTTGCCCCAAAATTGACAATCTCCTTGGAAAAGCCAGCGGTGGTTGGGCAACATTTCTGTGTGGCAGGACACTGGCCATCATGGAAACAGCTTTTAGCACACAGTGGAATCATCTCCGGTATGGGACATTGACCCGGCTTCACTGCGTGGACACAGATAGTCAGCTTTAGTTTGTGCATATAGACAGTATACAATACGAAAAACTCAAAAGCATGAATAGCCAGTTTTACCTACAGACTGAATTATTTAAGTATTATGCCTCTTTATTTTGTAAAGCCATCCTGTCCTTAAAACTATCCTAAGGGATGCATTCAAACCTACCTTAGACGAGAAGAACAAAAGGCAAAGTCAATTAAATTCAATGTGTTTGTCTGTGTGTCTGTCTCTGTGTTGGGACCCTCAGCATCCATTATTAACTGAAACTCACTGAAAACAGGCAGCACGCAAACAGGCCCACAGTCAAATCGACAGCATTTGTGTCCTCCAGGGCAGTCTTTATCAGAAGAACATCCTCGATGGGACGGCACGACCGTCAGCCTCGCCGGACAGAAACCGTCCACTAGAGGATTCAAGAGGATCATTAGGGGAGGCCAGGGAGTGCGGTTTCAGCATTTGTAAATCAGGGTTTCGCGATCTCAAACCTAAATACAAATTTTACATATTTGTCTGCTTCAAATCAAAAGCGTTTTAAAACCTACTACTCATTCCTAAACTGTGTTAATTACTTTCAAAGACTGAGAGTCACTTATTTCTGCATTTCTTCAGGCTGTATAATGAAGTCAACAGATCTTCTCACCTGTGGTTCATCTTTGAATAGCGTGAGTTATGCTCAAGTATCCGAACAGACACAGTAAAACAGCAATCAACGAGCAATACACTCGCGCTGTCATCCTCCCAACTTGCGATCTCACAACGATCTTTGCTGGAAAATGCGCTGAATTGGTGCGTCAGGAGGAGCGAACAGCGAAGTGCACAAAACTAAAACCAATACGTGTTGCTGCAATATCAACCTCTGTAAAATGGGGTTTTAAAGATCCAAGGAGATCAGGTCAATTCCAACCCTGATCAAACTCACCTGCCTGTAGTTTTTTAGTAATCTGGAATGCCCTGATTAGCTTGTTCAGGTTTGACTGGGGTTGGATGAGCTGAATGCTGTGTTCAGTGAATGCAAAGTTTTTTGGTTTATATCTTACTAACATATCGGCCAGGTATTTTGGTCCAAGGTCATCATGGGATTTCTATTCAATTAAAAGTAGCCTACTTTAAAATTGATTCTGGAAGAAAAGAAAAGAAAAGAAGAAGAAAAACCTGGAAAACAGTGTAATGAGTTTTGATTGAGTAACTTGTTGATCTGTGCTGCTTGAGCCATGAACTGTTTCAGACGGTTCAGTCCTATTTGGTGAACTGGTTCACCCACTTAACTAGAACCGGTTCAAAAGAATGATTAGATCGTGAACTGGACATCCCTCCAGACCGTTTGCCTGAGGCTCTGGGTTACAGGTAATAATGTCATAAATAATGTTCAGTTTCTCTCACAGAGAGCTTTTTCAGACTTTCAAATGACGGTAGCTCTTGACTTGCAATCACCAAGGACCATGGTTTGAGCTAAAAATCTTCTTTACTGTTCTATTGAAGAAAAGAGTCACCTACATCTTGGATGACCTGAGGGTGAGTAAATTAACAGCAAGTTTTTGGGTGAACTATCCCTTTAACAAAGATACATACAGTACACAGGTATAAATGAACCAAACAAGACAGATGAAGGAACCTAATTATCACTAAGGAAACTAATATAAACAGGAACTAAATGCAGGAAATGAAAACTGAAATTAAAAAGAAATACATTTCAACATAAGAGTCCTAAAGAAACACAGACACAGGACAGACATGACATAATATATATTTTTAATAATTTATTACTAGCATTTATTGATTTATGTTCATTTGAGTTGATAACACTGAACTAATGTTATCAAATGAGACTATTGTACACACATGAGCAGGGCCGGATTTACGTATAGGCATTCTAGGCACGTGCCTATGCTCGCTCGTCCAGGGGGGCCCAAACACAATGAAGAGATATATAATATTTTTGTTACACTATGGGATATCTACAACAGTAAAAGAACCAAAACCCCAGAAGACATTGAGCAAATAAAAATCATCTGAACAATTGATGTGTGATTGTGTCTCCAGGCCGTTAAAATTATTAGAGAAATAATGCACTTCCGAAGTGGTTATGTGGCCACATCGCCGCGCCTATTAATGGAACGGTCTTTCTTCCCCAGAAGACATTGAGCAAATAAATATAACAAGCAATAGGGTAAAAATGACAAACTATTTCCATGTCTTCAACCTTTTTTATGTACGGAAATTACACTTTTCTCCTCTCAGACGCACACACAGTACAGACACACACTCGCGCACACACACGGAGACGTGAACAGAAACTCATTGTGAGAGCTGCGGCTGCCCCGCAAATTTATCAATAAAATAGTTTTGCAGCTGAAAAGCTATACATGACATTTCTTAGTAGCGAGGTTCTTGAAGCAGTTCAACTTAAAGATTCGCTATTATAGACGTAGTTCAACACACACGAGATTTCAGGACAGAAACATGTCAAATGTCTTGAAACAAATCATCTGAACAACTGATGTGTGATTGTGACTCCAGGCCGTTAAAATTATTAGAGAAATAATGCACTTCCGAAGTGGTTATGTGGCCACATCGCCGCGCCTATTAATGGAACGGTCTTTCTTAGTTCTCAAACAAATTAAGAACTACATTCAACGCAAGCGCTTATTGCGATAGAAAACACTGTAACAGTTTCCACTGATTAAGACATATTTTTGTTTGCTTGGGTGGTAATATTAGGCCTATTAATAGGGAAGGGGGGCCCACAAATTTTTTTGCCTATGTCACAAAAAGAGGTAAATCCGGCCCTACACATGAGATTACAAATGGTAGGGATGGGTACCGGGAACAGGTATTTTTTTGGACCGGTACGTAATTGGGTCAATACCAGACTACCGATAAGTTTCAGGACAAACTATACTGTTATCGATACTTCAATGTTAATGGCGAATTAGAAGTTGCTGCTTGTCATTTTTCTTCATTGAATGATGTGGCCGACATTTGCTCAACGTGCATGTGATATCCATGCGCATGTGCAGTGTGTTTTTGCGTGCAATCAGTGGCGGTGAAACATTCAAAAGTGTGGGCTCACGTTACAAAACTAAGCGACACCAGTGTCAGATGCAATATATGCAGGTAATAATGAACAAAGGAGGCAACACTAGTAATACAATGAAACATTTACTTACAAAACACAACATCTACCTCAAGCAATGCGCTCTATTTGCTATGTCTCCCGGTGTTACGGTTTAATTGGTGACCGTGTTATCTGGTGACCAACTTCCTGTTTCAGGTCTCCACTCCAGATGTGATGGAACGACCGCAGCAGATTCGCCGATTCTGAAAGCACAAACTGATGTGATATAAAGCTGTCTAATAAACGCACAGTTGCTCATTACATGATTTTAGTACTCTTGTAAAGATGACAAATTATTGGTATGATCGCCCGTAGCGGCTTAAGTACAGAAAATAAACAAAAATGTCTGTTTGGCACGGGTTCAGAATACGCGCTAAAAGACGCCGTGCCGTGAGACGCCAGTAATGAACCACTGAGCTACCGACCTGCACTGGTTTAGCCGCAGATTTCTGGATTGAAGACAGGATTTTACTCTCGGCGTCACAGTGTGCGGCTGGCTGAATCAAGGAAATGTGACCGTGTTAACCTGTGACCTGTGATTACCTACTATTAAAAAGTAAACCATAGTAGAAAGCTGACTACATTTTATGGTTTATGATATTAGAGTACATTTCATAGACTCTCAGACAATGTAAATTTGGTAAATATGTGGCCTCTATAGCTTATCGTTAAACTATTTACTTTAGTAAAAACATGGTACATTTTCTTCAGAAACTATAGCTGATGTCTCATTTGATGAACGCAGTAACGCTATTTCCACGTTGTTTTGCCGTTATTTTCTCGCAGAAATACTTTGGAAGCATGTCACTTGATTTTTATACTGTAGTCGAAAAGCTGCATATAAATGTTATAGCCTAATGTTACTTTTTTATACGACAGGTGCAATCACGTTGAGCTATTCAACCACACTGATACATTTCTGGTACATAAGCTTCTTTTTACGCTGTGACTTAAGGTAGTTTGAAACTTTGATTCTTTGAATATGCCTGTGTTAACTTGTGACCTCTGTGTTTGCTTACCAAAAATTAATTTTACTGTTGCAATATATTAACCGAGCGGCAACCTCCCGCTCTCTCTCGTGAAGCCAACAAGGAAGTGACTTAAACTGTAATTCGTCAACTGGCCGCTAGAGGCTGGCTGCAAAAGGGAGTCAATCCCATAGACTCCCCATGTTAAAATGCCCAACTTTACAGCAGAAAACGAGCTAGGTGGGCGTGGTTTCAACAACCAGCTCCCGCCTCTTTGCCCATCTTCGATTATCCGGGAGTGACGTGCTGCCAAGATGGCGACGGCCGCCTCCGCCCACTTTTGAGCTTCAAAAACTATCTTCGGAACCCTACGGGTGACGTCACGGACACTACGTCCATGTTTTTATACAGTCTATGATATTAACGTTATTTCCAGTAAAAACTCTGCTTACAAATATTACTTTGTAAACGTGTTAACTTGTCACTAGATATCTCATTTGATTATATATGAAATCTGAATGTCATTTTCTCGTCAAAATACTGCTTATAAATTACGTAAACCGTTAAGCTAAACAATCATATGTTTTGATATACAATCAGAAAAAAATACACATTGTGGAAAGTAACAAAATTAACGCAGCAAAACACTGCGTTATGTTATTGCATATAAGGACGCCCCATAGCCTACATAGCACCTTACATATTAGCATGTATCCAATACTACATTTAGAATGTAAGTATTTTACACTTCAAGGGGTTCAGCTATATTTAAAAAACTCATTAAAATGTTTTTAAAGGCCATCAATCTACTAGTGTGAGTATCTAAAGCGACACAGAGGTGGGTCATTTCATTCCCTACAATCAAATAAAGAAATCAAGTGGCATGTTTCCAAAGTATTTCTACGAGAAAATAATGGCAAAACAACGTGGAAATAGCGTTACTGCGTAACGTTACATCAAATGAGACATCAGCTATAGTTTCTGAAGAAAATATACCATATTTTTACTATAGTAAATATAGTTTAACGATATAGCGTTTGTAATTAAACCATAGCAGCCACAAATTTAACATTGATTCCATGGTAAACACAGGTCAACGGTCACATTTCCTTGATTCAGCCAGCCGCACACTGACGCCGAGAGTAAAATCCTGTCTTCAACCCAGAAATCTGCGGCTAAACCAGTGCAGTTCGGTGGCTCAGTGGTTCATTACTGGCGTCTGACGCGCGCGCGGTTTCTTTCAAGGGGTTCAGCTATATTTAAAAAACTCATTAAAATGTTTTTAAAGGCCATCAATCTACTAGTGTGAGTATCTAAAGCGACACAGAGGTGGGTCATTTCATTCCCTACAATCAAATAAAGAAATCAAGTGGCATGTTTCCAAAGTATTTCTACGAGAAAATAATGGCAAAACAACGTGGAAATAGCGTTACTGCGTAACGTTACATCAAATGAGACATCAGCTATAGTTTCTGAAGAAAATATACCATATTTTTACTATAGTAAATATAGTTTAACGATATAGCGTTTGTAATTAAACCATAGCAGCCACAAATTTAACATTGATTCCATGGTAAACACAGGTCAACGGTCACATTTCCTTGATTCAGCCAGCCGCACACTGACGCCGAGAGTAAAATCCTGTCTTCAACCCAGAAATATGCGGCTAAACCAGTGC